GGCAGTGGATTTATATCACAACTTCCAAAAAATAAGAAACCCCCAAACGGTCAACAGCTAAATGAACAGGCAATTCCTCAGAAGAAATACAGATAATCAATCAGTATACAAAGTATAATCTGAACAAAGCCCATTAAGACAATAAAAAGCCACTGTACTCAGCAGAGTGGCCAAGGCTCAAAGCATGCTGATGTCAAATCCCTGGCACATGAGGCGGATGCTTTCAAAGATGGCAAGGAGCAGAGGTAGACACGGCCACCTGGAGAGCAGTGTGGCACTTTCTCTGAGGTTTCACACATCGTGTTCACCCACAGAGCTGCTTGTGACAGCCAAACATTGGAAACGACCTACATGTCTGTCAACATCAACTGGGTACATGGAATATCCCTGTGCGGTGTATCCCTATGATGGAAAGCCATTCCCACTTAAAATGAACTAGGGCTTCCTTCATCAACGTGGATAAGTTCCACAGCACTTTGTTGGGCGTAATAAGCAAGCTACAGGACAGTCCATCAGTATGATTTCATCGATGCCATTGGATAAAGAAAGCACAGGGTCATAACATGCAAGAAAAATACACACAAAATTGATCCTAGTGGTTGCCTTTGAGTTGGTGGAAAGGATTATGGGCTGTGGTCAAGGGAGATTAACTTGAAGTACAGGAATCTGTTCTGCAGTGGGAATGTATTCATGGGTTATGCTTGTGAATATAATTAAATTTTTAAAATATACATGCAAACACCCACGGGAGATGTAACATAGATGGTTTCAAAACAAAGCAAAACAAAAGGGCCTGGTTCTCAGATGCTTCAGCATCATTCCCCAGACACTCCCCTATTACTTTTTTGTTTCCATGGTGACAGTTCCTGGGGGAGGGGGGGGCAAAGATTATTTGAAAGTTTTTAAGAAGCCCATTATTTCCCGGACTACTTTAGACAAACCCCAGTGGAGTGTACCCACCCGTCCAGGAAGCTCCCCTAGCTCAGGGAAGGCGACGGGAGAGGGAATTGTTTGGCCATGTGGTTTTTCATGACCTGGGGGTAGGGCTAATCCCACAGAGCTGATGGGACTGTAAGGGCCAACCCCATGCGCTTGGGAAATAGAAACTCCATAGCTGAAAGCCAAGCTTGACTTTTCCCACACCCTAGGTTTCGAGTCTTCTTCCTCTATCAGCTACACAGCCCTTTTCAAGCAACTGATAACATTGCTGTTAGACTTGGAATTTGCAAAGCGCTGTATCACAACTGGCTCTATAAGCACTTTCCTCCTTTTATTTTTACTTGACCTTCAAGAGAATTTTTCCCCTTTTATCTAAACCTAAAAGAAAGTAAACAAGATTTGGAGTCCCTCCCTCTCCCTCCCTCCAGCCTCCCATGCAAACGGACTGCAGACAGCGGCTCCTCTCCCCGATCCAGCGGGTAGTGGGCAGATCTCGAGGTCAGAGACTGCTGGGCAGACAGGCAGGGGGAAGGCTGGGCTCCACAAACACTGCTGTTTGTAGGTCCAGGTCTGTTGCTGGGGACGAAATGGCCTCTTTACAGGCTGGGAGGGGCCTGAGTCCTTTCTAAGTGTCTTTTAGCTTTATGGACTCTGTTTCATAGCAATGGCCACCATTAATATAAAGAGAGAATTTAAATAGGAGGAGTATTCCGGAGCATTTAGGTACTTGTTACAAAGTGTTTTAATCTCATCGTGTTTTTTTAATCCGCCAACGGCCCTTACCCCCAGAGTCAGCCAACAAGGGGCAGAGAGGGTATTTGAAGGCAGGTCTTTCTGAACCCAAAGCTGGTATGCTCACCACTACTGGCTCATGTTGCCGAAATACCAGCTAGTCTGCCTCTAGACACCACCAGGCTTGAAGTGTAGCCCCTCAGGTGAGGTCCCCACCTATGAGGAAATCACCCAGAATGATTACAAAATAGTACAGATCGGTGTAGATTCCTGTGCCAGACTGGAGCGCAGCAGCGTAAGTCCTGGGTGTGGTCTCAAACGGCCAAGAAAGAACCCGGGGATTCCTGAATTCCGCCCTTGGCCTGGATGCCAGTTTGCGTGGAAATCACCCAGGTGAGCGCTTCAGGCTTCCTGCGTAAGGCACAGATGCTTACATGTCAGGGAGGCCTAGGGCACTGGGTTTCTGAGACGAATGAGGGAGGGGACCCAGAGGCTCAACCCCTGGCCTCAACCTCAGGCTCCCTCTCACTGGCCTCGTCCACCTGGAGTGGCCACAGTTTATGCCCTGCCAGCAGCACTCTCTCCCTGCTTCAGAAGGGAAGGCAAGCACACCACCCCTCGCGGGGGAACAAACACAGTGTGCCCTGGCTTTATCAGGGTGGTCTGTTGTAGGTGGCAGGAACAGCACGGATCAGACAGGAACGGCAGTGATCAGGCANGGTGGTCTGTTGTAGGTGGCAGGAACAGCACGGATCGGACAGGAACGGCAGTGATCAGGCAGGACCTGGGTTCAGCAACCTCGGTACTTGAGTTCTGGCTAGGAAAGAATTCAGAGCCAAGACCCAAACTAGTATAAGAGGACATTTATTTGGTAAATCAGAGGTAAAAAAACAACAACACAATTCCTAGAAGAAATGGGCTTAGGAAACAAGTTACAGTGGTAAAGGAAGGGCCCACCTGGGGGGGGGGGGGG